TGATAGTTTTATTACAGCAAAGTTTAAAAGTCTAGGAAATAGTCCTCAGTGGAAAGTCATGTAAGCTCCATCCTTGAAGATATTTAAAGCTAAGCTGGGCAGCACACTAGCAAATATTCTGTGAAGAGAAGTCCAAGGACTAGATGACAAAGCTGTAGGTCTTTTCTTTCTCTGACTTATACGATGCTAAAATTTATTGTAGTATACTATTAGGTTTATAGGAGCATGATCAACTTAAACAGCTTGGTTTTGCTAATAACGCACATCAGATTATTCCAAGTGCAAGCACTTTAAGAATGCAGTTCATATTACTTGCTGATGTCTATACCATGCTTGTTTTTCTTGTCTCATTTGAGATGAACAATAGGAAGAAAGTCATTTTCAAAGTTTCAGTTCATAGGACTTTATCCAGTGGGCCATAAAACTTTTAAAAAGTGACCGAGTCAGATTCCTAGGTAGCTTAGATACCTTTGAAAAAAAATGTATACTGAGGGTGTGTTTTAATTTAAAGCAAATAAGCACTTCCTTGCAGTGTTAAAGACCAACTTTTTTACTTGAATTTTTAAGAAATGTGTAAACATTTCTGTTGGTCTGAAGATATTTGAAGGTCTGTTTCCACAAAATTTAATCTGGGCGTGATTATTTTTGGTGACAGTAAAAGCCTCTGAAATAATTCTGTGATCAAGAATGACTTTTAACAACTGAGTTTACATTGTGCTTTTTAGTTGTACTGTCTTTTATTGCATTCTCTCTCCCCCTCCCACAGCTCTGTATGTCTGGATAGTAGATGCACATATTTGTCTATCTGGGTATGTAGGAACTTTTATGCCTGATGATTAGATTCTTTGTTACTTTATACTAAAAATCTTAACTGGGAAGGATAACTGATTCACAAAGGTTTTAAAGTAGGCAGGAATAAGGAAAATTGCAGGTAAAGAGAAAACATGCCAAATGTCTTCCAATTCCTGTCACCATCCTTTTGCACAGGTAACAATGGGTTACATAACCATTACCCATGTATACAATATACTTGCACATAAAATGGCCTACATATCAGTCTGCCTAATAGCTGAGGCACCAAAGCTAGCACAAATAAAGCAATCATTCTCCATTCTGAGTAGAGGAAAATAAAGATATCTGCTTGTTTAACAGCATAATAATACATAAAATGAGTTCTGAATATAAATGCTGGTCTGTGATGTTGGTGCAAAATGATTGCCTTCACTATAGTTATTGTTTTCTGTGTCCCTCATTTGACAGCAGAGCCCCATGTGACCTTTGCATAAGCCACCTTTGTGAATATTGACTGAAATTTCAATCATGCTTCTCCGATGATAAATGAGCACATAGAGTAAATGTACATTAGTGTTCTATTTTTTGTCCCTTTCGTATATGCTGTTTGTATGCATGCTTAGGTTCTAAGTACCTGGTTCTGAGCTTCAGATTTCTTCTTACGTTGTTGACTGTCACAGGGCGGGGTCCCAGGAGCAGCTGTGATCTCTCCTGGCGCCCCCTACCGTACCAAGTTGGCATCCATGCACCCTCTGTTCTCGCCCGCCACGTCTTTGATGACAAAAGTATTAAGGGAGGCTGCCTTTTGCCCCCTTGGACACGGTACCCCAATGTACTCCAGCCTGTACCCCGTCTATGGTGATTCAGTGCACTCCCGCCTCAAGGGCTATACATGGCTCCTACCACCCCTAATACCACACCCCAAGCCTCTCAGATGTCCCAGATGTTGTCTAGTCACGTACTGTTGCCCATGCCCCAGTGGACACTCCCAGGCCTCTCTAGGCCAAGCCCATACTGGGCCCTCCTCGCTCGTGTGCCCTCCCTGGGGCTCCTTGCTCATGCACCCGCACTGGGGCCTGTCTCTGCAATCCCCTGCCCACACTGGGGCCTTGCCTCACAATTGGGGCTCAGGTGGCTGCAGCTGTGCCTGGCCCCCAAATCCCCTCCCTGGGGCTCCTATTCTAGTGCACCCCTCCCTGGGGCTTCTCAGTGGTGCCCACTCTGGTGCTTCTCACAATCTGGGGCTCAGGTGGCCTGGTCCCTAAATCCCCTTCTTGGGCCTACATTTTTTATACAGCTCAGGCAGCCTTGGCCTTACCTGGCCCTCCAATGCACTGTGCCCCTTCTCAGGGTTCTGGGGTCAGTGCACCCCTAGATGCAGTGCACTCCCTGGCACCAGGGTCCCCACACTACTGTGGCACCCCTAATGAGGCCTCCTCCAACCCCTATTAGCCTCACCCAGTCCTCCAGTCTAACAACAAACAATATCATAAGCCAATCAGCTACAACTTAAGAACTAAGCCCTCTGGCTACTCATCAATCAAATCCCCTACCCAGGCTTTCTCCTCCCAGTACTCTCAAGCCAAAACTGTTCATGCCATCAAGCTGCTCTCCAGCAGAGCACCCTCTCCCATGGCTGTTAGTGGGGAACTGCCTGCTTCCACAGAGCTCCTACTCTCTCAGCTGCCAAAGGAGAACTGCCTATGGCTTCAGCCTAGGCTGTTTATATAGGCCAGGCCCTGCCCCCTCCTGGTCAGCTGACCCTTGTGGTTGCCCCAGCAACCAACACCTGTCCTTCTCTAGGAGCAGGCACTTCAGTGTACTGCGACAGACTGGAAGGTCCAAATGAGTGCAAGGAAGAGGAGGAAGGCTTGAATAATCATTGCAAATTTTGTTTTGGTTGTTAAATAATGACCACAATGTTTTATGGGTGGGTAAAGGTGAGGCATTGGGGGTCTTAAAGTCTTAGATCTAAGATTTTTCATTGTAGGTCTAAGATGAAACAGAAAATCTGTTTTCTCTTGCTTCCTAGTTTGGTGCTGTAACCATCACATCACATGTTGGGTGTTATCCAGCCCCCTCTCCAACCCTCCCCTTGAAGCTGAGACACTACACCTTGTATTTAATGCTTATTGGGCAGAAAACAGAGGGGAATTCTGCCCCATTCAGAGCACAGTTCCAAGCTAGAACCAGGGACTCTCTCCTTTACTGAACAGCAGCCTTCTTACTGATCCACACACCCTCTAACTGTTCTCTTCCTCTTGGCCCCACATCTCTCACTCATGGCTGCCCAGGAGACCTGTTTCAAGGGCCTCCTCCCTGGTGAGGGATCTGGATAATGCCTATCCTGTAGTCTCATGGTTAGAGCATTGTGCTAGGAAGCAGGAGAAGTACAGTCAAACCTTTCCTGAGTGAGGGGGACCTAAAACTTGAGTCTCCTAAGGAGAAATATGTTTAAGAGGTTGAAGACCTTGGACACTATGGTAATGTAGGCTATATAAGTACATTGGATAAATGTCAAACTACTGCTGAGATGGATGTATGTCCTCTCTATGGGGGTCAGTCTGGGTAGGTGCTATTCTGCTGGCAGTAATCATCTTCTGATATGACGGCAAACAAATATTCTTTGGTGTCGAGAGAAAAATAGGTATGTACATAGCATAGTTTTTGCTGAAGATGCTAAGGGCTCAGATAATGAAGGAGTCCCTCTGCTTTAGGAAAAGGGAGAAGAAAGAATGGGAAAGCAGAGGTCCTGCTGGAATCATAAGAAGTGTTTAATGGGGTATCATTGTTAGCAGCTCAAATATTACTGTACTGCAATGGGAATGTAGGAGTTCTCACACTGTATCAGACTGGTGGTCCATCTAATCCTGTGACTTGTTGCTGACTGTAGCCTGTGCCAGATGCTTTAGCTGAAGATACAAGAAAGTCTGTTGTAGATATGGGGATAAATGACCCTATGGAAATTTCCTCCTAATCTGCAGTAGGTTGAGGTTGTCTTAAGCCCTGAAGCATAAAGGTTTTTATCTTTTCCAAAATCTTTAATTTTTTTTCTTTACTCTGATAACTGGTTATTCGTGCTATCCATGTACATTTCTCATTATTTTCTGAATTTCAAAGTTCTCGGCCTTGGTGGTGTTTTGTAGCTGCAAGTTCCAAGGGCTCATGGTATGTTATGTGATAAAATGTTTTTCTTTTTTTGTTTCAATTTGCCACCTGCCAACTTCACAGACTGTCCCCGTGCTTTTCTAATTTAAGAAGTGAAAAGAAGTTTCCAATTTACTGTCACTGTGCAACTCACCAGTTTATAAAATGTTTTATAACATACACTAGGGTAGAAAGAGGCCAGAATGTGCTTGGTGGATGAATTTCACACAGTTGTAGAAAAAATGGAGGGGATTTTTTTGCAAATCACAAACTTTGTTGGCAGCAAAAAGTAATGAGGGTAGGGGTTTTGTACCACAGCAGCCAGTGTCTGGCCCACTACTATTTGGAATGCAGGGTCTGGCCTGGCCGCTACGGACTTGGTTTGGATGCACAGTAGCTTGGTAATCACTTGAGTTGTTCTGGAGTTAGCCACTCTGGATTAAAGACCATAAATTGCTTCTGTTCTCTTTCAGTCTTTGGTAAAACTCTCCCTTGATCAGCAAGAAAAAAATATAGAACCACTCTCCTGTTTCCTGACTCGCTGTTTCACTTACTGGTTGTTGATATTTGTGAACAAGTTTCCACATGGCCCACATAGTAAGGTTATTATGGCTCCAAAGATGTGAATTTGGTCCTGACTTCGAATTTGTGCCAAAACCTATCCCATTGACCAGGCTATAAATGGATACCTGTCATTTGGGCTGGAGAGTCAAAGGCAACTGGATGTCACCCCGTCATGTGCCATTGGCTGCAGAAACTGGTGTGTACTCCCCATACTAGCCCAGTGGGCCCCAAGTCTTTTTACTTGCAATATATATTCCTAGTAGCCTAGAAATAATTTGGGGTAGCCAAGAGAGTCATTATGTAAAATGAGCAATGCAAGTATAGTAGCAGTAAATTTGGCAACTTGTTCCTCAAAGCCTGTAATGCTTTTTGCAGTCTTATGTTGCTAAGGTGGCTGGCAGCTTGATTGGCTTGTGCTAGTAGTAGCAGGCTTCTGGAGTAACTTGTTTCCTCTCATTTCTGATTTTGCTTTTAAACTCCTTTCACATTTTTTGCAGGACTTTTTTGAAAGTTACATTTCCATTGCTTCAACTGTGCCTTCAGTACTTTGCCTGATTGGAAACTTCCTGCTAGTCAACAGGTAAGTACTGTTATATTTCCCATCTAGAATGCATTAACTGCTACCATTTCGAGGCTCACCTGCTGCCCTTGCAGCCCACATTACTCTACTCCTTTCTCTAGTCTTCCTTGTTAGCACAGCAGTAGGCTCTAAGACAAGCTGAAACACCTGATGGGGAAATGCATTTAACTAGAGAAAAAATGTTAGCTAAACTTCTGAAGGAATAGACTTGCGCCATTGTTTTTTCTCTACTCTGAAGCTCATTCAGGACCCATTGTTAGGGATTAGGGCAGGCACAAATACACTTTCTGTGCACAAACTCCTACCTATATATATTCTCCTGTGTGTGATGCTGGTAGCTTTTCAGATAAATAAAATCCTATCAAAGGTCCCATATAATACAAAGTCCCTTCTTAAATTTCTTGTAACATCTGTGTTCTAAATTCTACTCAGTTTGTACATGAGGTCCAGGAATCAGTAATTAAGATACATGATAGATTTATGTGTTTAGTTTTTTTTTCTACAAGTAGATATTTCTATAATAGTAATTATACCTATTGCAAGTGACCCATTGCATAAATTCCCTGTATGCAAGCAAAGTTCAGTGAAAGCAGCAGTATAACAGTAGATGGGTGAGTGAGGCACAAGTCCCGGGTGCTGCCTAAGGAAGAGGATGCCAGAGCTAGCAGGGCACCACACTCTCTTGTCCGCCATCTGTCTCCTCCTACCTTCCCTGCAGTGGCTCTGGTTCCAGCAGCAAAGGGCCAAGCAGCCATTTTCACTGCTGTGGGAGAAGTCATCTTTTGTTGCTGCTGAACATTAGTGTATTTCTGGATGCTCAACACGTCTGCAGCAAAAAAGGGAAGTGATGTTGCCCCTCCTTCCTCTACCTCACACGCATAGCAGCAGCCAACCTCTGCACTGTGTGCTATCACTGCCCAGGGTGCAGAACTGACCGGTTACACCTCTGAGTGAGTGAAAGGTTTCAGCTCGTTAGGCAAGCTGGTCTATGTCCTTCTCTTACAACTTGGAGCATGAACTACTAATAGTCTCTCAGATCATGCTTTTCCAGAATCTGCCTGTATGGTAAACTGGCATGTAAATATTTTTTGTATGTCAAGTGAATTGCAAACAGGATTCAAGGGAAGGGAGTGGGAATGAATGCTCCTGTTGAATCCATTGACTAGTTTGCCCCCCGTCAGCAGAATCTGAGACACACTGGGAAGGCTTCTCCACCCACCAGGAGAAAATCTTTCGAAAGGAACTACAGCACTGCACATGCATTGACTCCCCACTGACTAGCAACTATAGTTCTCTTTTCCATACCTGTGGTGTTTGCCTGTGTGCCAATCCCTTTTATCTGCCTCATTCTTCAAGTTCTAGCCACTGAAGTAAGAATGGATATTAGCCTGAAGATGATCCATATCAGTGCACAAAGGCAGGAGGTGAGAAAGTGTGCGTGCCTAGCATACTTCATGCAGACTGAGTGGGTACTATAATGTTCACGTTAATGCCATAATAGCTAGTAGTGAAGTGTTGAATTCCTAGCAAAGATAACAACTGTGTACCTATATTTATAAATGGCATGCAAACAGGGAAAGGGAAGAAGGCAAAGGAGATCTTGAGAAAATAGCTTCTGTTTTTCTTGTGCATTCTCTCTTCTGCAAATGGATCCCTTTCACTAAACTATTATGTATTTAATGCATTATGCTTAACTGTAGCATCTATCTTCTGTATATTTCATAGTCTTCTGACTAGCATGGGTACAATCAGTAAGTGCTTTATTATGTTAAATTTTCAACATCATAAATACTCATGAGGCAGATTTACATTATGGAGACTTCTGAGCAAATTGGTTTCCCGTGGTTTAAATATCATGCAGGAGAGCTGATGGCTAGTATATGCTCCACCCTCATTAACACCCTCAGTGTTTTTGAGAGCTAGGCGTTATGACTGATCTAAAATGGTGGCATTTAGGGGATTATGAAAGATCTTTCTTGTGCATCCTTTGGGGAATGCCACAATGCTCCTCCTCCTTGCTTAGAAATTATAAATGTTATACTTTAATTGCTTAAAAATAAAGTCCTTCATGCACAAAACCCACATTTCTCACTGTTCACTCTTGTCCCAGACATAAGTCAATAAAGCTGCAGTGTTTTTAATTTGGGTAGCTGTGTGGCAAAATGAACCTTATCTGTGTTCCTTAGAAAATTTGCCTAGCAGGGAATAGGCTTGTCTGTAATACAGGAAGTTATTCTCAAATTGCTATTCCTGACTAGTTGTTCTGGATTAACTATTCCAGTTTATATTTGGATACTCTTATTCCAGAATCAAGGGCTGTGTTTTGGTTTAATTGTAATCACAGCAGATTAAGCTAAACCAAAAGAAGGCACCCTCATTTCAGAATTAGATCATCCACATATGGAGTTAATCTAGAATAGCCATTCCACTTTAAATTTATATTTTTATTCCAGATTAACCTTCATATGGAGACAAGTCCTACATTTTAGACCAAGAGGAGAAAGGGAATGTATTTCACTGTTTCATCTCTAGATCTTAGCTGCTAGCTTAGCTTTCCTTTTTCTTCTTTTCTCCTTCACCCCCTTCTGCCCTGAAGGTGAGCCGATAAAGTCTTGTGTGTCTATAATAAGTAACCTTCCTGTTCAGGCAACTAATTATCTTGTAGTGACAAGCATGTGATTGCATTCGCCCAGCCTGCAGTATTCCCCAAGCAGACTTTTATCGCTATTGTTGCTGCTGCATGTTGTTCTTGTGATGGGAATATCTTCTGATTTCTGCTAGAAATAGATATTTACAGCTTGGTTGGGTTTATAGACTTGGAGTGGAATAAGCTCTGATGTCAGCTGTGGAAATCATAAACTTGATATCAAAACACCATTTTAAAAAATTGTTATTTTTATTTGCCTTATTTTTCTTTGGTCCTTCCCAGCCCAGAAGAATTAGTTCACAGCAGCTTCTATTTTGACTCCATCTCTGTAGCCACTGGGCTTCCTCCTTTGCATTCTTATATTATTTCCCAGTTGACTATCATTTCAGCAACCTGCCTTAATCAGAGACTTACCAGGCTGTTGCTCATGTTTCCAAAGAGACTATAGGCAGCCCTCAAGTTCTCATGTTGTGGTAGGGCATCAGCTTGAGATTATATTCTCAAAGTCAGAGCTACACCCTTACAGACTGCATTTCAGTGGTCAGTACCAGCACATGGCACCTGTCAGCTGCCTTAGAGTGGAGCTCGGGTTCTGAGGACTATTTAAAGTTTTTGAAATTGGAATTTGAAACCCTTGGATGGAAAGGGCTACAGAAATGCAAGGTTACAACATGTAATCGATTTATTTTTAGTTTTTTTATTTATTTTTTTGTACTGAATTTGTTTTGGTGGTGTTGAGGCTTTTAAAGATGAGATGTTTAGGATGTAGTAGAACATTGCCGGTCTGTAAGAACTGTAAGGAGAGGAAGGGATGGTCTACTAAAAAGGCACTGTACTGGGAGTTCAGAGACCCAGGTTCTATTCCTAGAGTCATTTCACCTCTGTCTCAGTTTTCTCTCCATCTTGTCTGTTTATTGGGTCTGTCTTATACTCTGTAGCTTTACAGCATTTAGTACAATAAGGAATTAGAGACTGTACCTGCTAGTCTAATAGAAGTAATAATAGCCAGATTTGGGGAATAAATTAGATGGTGGCTTATTTTAGCAACACCTTCCCCCCCACCACCCAAAAAAAATTAAAATCCTGTCTTAAACCATTATATTTTTTTCTTTAGGGTGTCTGCTACTGTCCGCATTCTCTCTTCCTTGGCTGTCATGCTGACTGTGTTCTTGGTGATCACCGTGCTGGTAAAAGTGGACACTTCTACCTGGACAGAGTTTTTTTTTGCCATAACCATAATTTGTGTGGTTATTATCAGCGCTGCCTCAACCATCTTCACGAGCAGCCTCTTTGGCCTGAGTGGTTGCTTCCCCATGAAGAATTCACAGGCCTTGATATCAGGTTAATTTCCCTCTGCTATCCAAAATGAAAGGGATAATAATAAGTAAAGGATTTGCTCTGGCAATGGGACACTGCCCCGATGCTGTTTTCTGCAGTCCAAAGGAGCTTGGAATCTGCGTAGACTGGGTGTGGGACCCATGCTTTGCATCTTGGGGTACATAGCAGAGGGTATTGCTACATCTTGCATTTAATCATGTGGTGATGAGTTCTGTGCATTGGCTGAGATAACAAAACCTTTTTCTTTTTAGAAACAATATCCATAGGCTGAAATAAAAGGAAGTTGCCAAGCAGGAAATGTGGCCAGTCACATGAACTTACTGTTTAGTTTCTGTAGATATTTGAAAACTCCCATACTCTTATATTATGATGCGGGTGTTTTTTTCAAAACAAACAAGGAAAATTCCAACCCTTTGTTATATGTAGCCTATGGGTGAATTTTTCCTAAAGCAATCAGTCACAGAATTGTAAAGTTGATTGGTATAAGAAGAAGAATATCCCTTATTTCCACATTTGTTTCTATCTCAGGAAATATTAAATTTGGCATTGTTTCTTTTTTATATTCAGCATTAACATTCATTTCCATAACTGATGAGGGACACATTTTGAGTCATGAATGATGAGGTCCCTGGAGGTTTGGATGATGCTGATAACACTGCAAATGTACTGGAGAGTAGGGGAGAGAGAAACAAGGGAGGAAGAGATGAATACAGTGACTTCAGATACAGCCAGGCATGTATTAATTAGTTTGTCTTAAAGATCACTGTACATTTTATTCATATGCATGCATGGTGCTGGTAGCCTCAATCCATATTTGGGATGGTGAAAGGAAGAGACCATCAAATGCCCAGTACTAAGAAACATGGGTTATAATTAACCTCCTTTTTGGAATTAGCCAAAGAGAAAATCTGTGTTAAGAATTCCAGCATAGGAGGGGCCTCACAGGAATATATATAGTTGTGCACCCTTTTTAGATGGTGACAAAAGCTAGATGGAAAGCAGGGCTCCTGTTTCAAAGTATAACTGTTAGGCAGCAGGTTGTTCTGATCCAATGAGTGATGTGCAGAATAACATGGGAGCATAGGTGATGTGACAAATGCTTTCCATCAGTTTTCCCTTTTGAGGCTGGAAGGTTAGGTTTGCTGGCCTTTCAGTGCTAGAGACCTAGGTTACCAGCTGGCTGGCTGAGAGAACAATAGGTGAGTTTAGATGATAGGTCTAAATTCAAAAGTTTTTTCTTTTTTTCTATCCCAGAACTACAACACAGCATGCAGCAATAGGCACTCATTGCATCAGGAGAGCTGGATTAGAAAGCACCAAGAATTTGTAGGCGAGAACAGAAATGCACTGATGAAGCTGTGTGTGAGATCTTGAAGGGCACCTACCAAGCCTGAGATTGGGTCAAGCCAGTCCATAGCTCAATTCCAAGAGCACTGAAACTTGCCCACACATATCAATTAAAAGCATTTTCTGAAATTCCTTGGTGCAAGCCTATCATCCTCATGTCTCTATTTCCTTTCCTTCTCTCTTGGCTGTGGAGCTGCTTTCTACCCAATGCCTGATTCTGGCTGATTGAGCACAGACTGGAGTTTTATTACAGTCTTCTTTGACCTTGACTTCTTGCTTTCTTTTCCCCGATGTAGGCCAGGCCATGGGAGGGACAGTCTGTGCTGTGGTATCAATAGTGGACCTGGCAGCTGCAGCTGATGTTACAGACAGTGCCTTGGTCTTCTTTGTGACAGCAGATGTCTTTATCTTGGTCTGCATTTTGATGTACTTGATTCTTCCCACATTGGAATACTCCAGGTAAGGCATACTGAGCTGCCAAACTCATCAGGTTTCACCTGATTTAAACTTTGGATGTGACATATTTACCTTAGGTGGAGGCTGAGAGGTTGGGGTTTTTTTCTTAAAAAGTTCTACAAAATGCATACTAGGTAATGTGCTGAGATGTGACAAGCCAGCTGTGAGAACTGGAGTGAAAATGATGGTGCTAGGAGACCCACTTTCTCTTTGCATTGGATCAAGTTAGACCCAGAAAAATCAGAGCCTGTACATGCTGCCAGTTTCTCCCAACACCTGCCAGGCAACGGTCTTGTTTTGTGCCTTGTGACACCCACATTCTTCTTGGACTGCAGCAGTTTAGCCTTCTCCCCACAGGCTGAGAGGCCATCCACAGCACTGTCTGCTCTCTGTCCTGCTACTTGTGTTCAGTTCCTTTCCTGAGTCTGAACTTCCCAATTTGACATAAACCACAGACAGAAACTGTGGTATTGCCACAGACTGTGCTGAGTTTCTGAAAAGCTACCTTTGGCTGAGAGTAGGGGGAATGACCTGAAACTACACAAACAGCTCGAGGTGCTTAATCAGAATTGATAGAGTTCACTCTTATTGGATGATAGCCTAGAAACAGCAGCACAACATCCAAACAGATACCACCAATGACTTCTGTAGTAACCAAGGGAACACACCAATATTTTAGATCCCCAAACATCTGGATTCTCCAGGCTTAGTTGATTTGCTATGTGTGACAAGCCCTGCTGTGAATAGTTGTATATCTCTGTGCATCAGTTGTTTCTTGCTTAATTATCAGGTACTGAGGTTGGAAGAAGAGAGTTTGCAAGTGTGAGAGTTATGAATAAATCCTTTCTCAGTAAGAAGCTGTAGTTAGAGGAACGGTTGAGAGAGCTCTGATCAGAGCAGAAACTGAATCTGTTTTAGGGTAAAACCTCAGAGTCCTTTTAAATGCAAAATGAAACAGTGCAGGGAAAAAAAAGTTTGGGGTTTGAGTGGTTTCCCCTCCCATGCCTTCCATGATATGACCAACATTGGCCTGTATTTTGTAGGGAATGGGATGTTAGAAAGGAAGAGATGTTCTGTCCTTTTTACATCCTGAAGTGTTCAGAATCCATAGAAAGAAACTGCTAGTACTGAGTGTCTGCATTCCTTTTCCCTTCCATCTCCTCCAGCATAGTCTGATAACAAGAGCCCAAAGAGCTTGTGGATGTCACTTGACCCTCCAGATGAGGCTAGGGATGTGTTTCTGACAGAGCTGAAAGGAAGTACAAGGCTTAATCTGTTGAGTTATTCGCTGGGTTTCAACACACTTTCTTGTGCAGGTGATTTTCCTTCACCTTTCTCCTTTTTATTCTGACTCCAGCTGTCTTGGTTTACTAATAGCTTTATTTCCTCTGTTTTCAGATACTACATGACAATCCAGACGGATAGCACATACTCACCTAGTATATTTCCCAACAGCTCTTTAAGGGAAGAGAATGAGTCCCAAAGTATCAACAGCTCATTTCCAACAAAAAGAGCCAGAGACAAAAACAGCCCTCCTTTGCGTCTCATCCTGAAGAAGACTGCTGTCCTGGGATTCTGTCTCTTCTATGTTTTTTTCATCTCTATCGTCATATTCCCTTCTGTCTCCTCCAACATAGAGTCTGTCAATAAGGACTCAGGGAGCTTGTGGACCAATAAGTACTTCATACCTCTTACCAGTTTCCTTTTGTATAATTTTGCTGACTGGTGTGGACGACAAATCACTGCCTGGATCCAGGCCCCTGGCCCAAAGAGCAAACTACTGCCTATTCTGGTTTTCCTGAGGACCTTCTTACTCCCCCTATTCATACTATGCAACTATCAGCCTCGGACACATTTCAAAACAGTGTTCTTCAAGACTGATGTCTACCCAGCTGTCTTCATTACACTTTTAGGACTCAGCAATGGTTACTTAGGTACTTTAGCTATCATTTATGGCCCAAAGATCATGCCGAAAGAGTTGGCAGAGGCAACGGGTGTGGTGATGACATTTTACTTAATGTTAGGGCTGGCAATGGGATCTGCCTTCTCAGCTCTTGTTGTCCATCTCATATAAAAGAGTAGTGGCAGGATGAACAGTCCCCATTCTCTTTGTGTAGTTGTCTTTGGAAATTTCCAAAGGGCAGAATATAGCTGTTTGACAAGTCCTACGTGCCTCAAGAAGGCAGGCACTCTGACAAGTGTTAAAGAAAAGCCTTTAAAAAAACACCAGCCGCACAAGACTTTGGAACTTAGTTGTGCATTTCCATTTGCAGTGGGCTGCTGGGGTCCTGCTGCTCTGTTTGTTTCATAGTTTCTAGGGTCGGAAGAGACCTGAGCAGATCATCTAGTCCGACCCCCTGCCATGGCAGGAAAGAGTACTGGGGTCAAATGACCCCAGCAAGGTGTTCATCTAACCTCCTCTTAAAAACCCCCAGGGTAGGAGCCTGCACCACCTCTCTTGGAAGTTGGTTCCAGACCCTAGCCGCCCTGACCGTGAAATAGCACCTCCTGATGTCTAACCTAAACCTACCCTCTGCCAGCTTGTGACCGTTATTCCTGGTCACTCCTGGCAGTGTTTGGGGGAACAGTGACTCCCCCAATGCCT